TCGAACATACTTATACATATTCCAGACATGCCTGTTTCTGTTTTAAGACATCTGGCAATTCTTTGGCAGCACGCTTCCTCTCCATGCCTCGACGTCCACGAGTCTGTAGTCGACCCCCTGCTCGAACTCCGCTGCCTCCCCTGTGAGGCCCGTCGGGAGGAGGAGGAGGAAGAGGAGGAGGAGTAGGAAGAGGGGGAGGAGGAGGAGGAGGAGGAGGAGGAGGAGGAGGAGGAGGAGGAGGAGGAGAGGAGGAGGAGAAGAGGAGAGGAGGAGGTGGAGGAGGAGGAGGAGGAGGGGAGGAGGTAGGAGGAGGAGGTGGGGAGGAAAAGGAAGGAAGTGGAGGAGGAGGAGGAGGAGGAAGGAGGAGGGGGAGGGGAGGAGGAGGAGGGAGTGAGGAGGAGGAGGAGGAGGAGGAGGAGGAGGAGGAGGAGGATATGGAGGAGGATATGGAGGCGTGCCGCCCGGCGCGGGCCGGCGGGGGCCAAGAGCTCCGCCGGCCGAGCCGCGGCCGAACCAGGCGGCCGGCGGCCAGGCGGCCAGGCGGCCCTAGGCCGAGCTCCAGGACGTTGACTACGATGTCCATCAGGGCCCCGACCTGGGAGGCCCCCCTTTCCTCCACTCCTCCTTTCTCCTCCACTCCTCTCCTCCTCCTCCTCCTCCTCCTCCTCCTCCTCCCAGACCTAAAGCTGTAGCCATAATCTCTCGGCTGCACGCAGAGAGTGGCCCCAGGCAAGAGTGACCTCTGGTGCGCGGAAGAAAGGGGGCGCGAGGTGGCCGAATCCAGGCGCGCAAGCAGCCGCTGACGCATCGCGCTCAGCGATCGAGGGGACGCCGATGAGCCCGCACCAAAGGTCACTTTGGCGAGGGATGCCCCCCAAAGCTGTACACGTCGTTCATTCCTAATCGTGCTCGTTTCTAATTGTGCTCGCTTCTGATTGTGCCTGGCCCCCTAGTGGCCAGTAAGAGGTCCAGGATAGAACAATTAGAAATGACAGGATCTTGGCCCCCCCAAAATCAAACACTTTCCAGCAATAAGACACGAACAATGTGTAGCCATCAACCTGGGCAAGCATAATCGAGGAACAATGCTTCGGCTACACGCAAGGAGTGATCCTAGGCAAGCGTAACCTTTGGCGCGCGGAATAAGGGGGCGCGAGGTGGCCGAATCCAGGCGCGCAAGCAGCCGCTAACGCATCGCGCCCAGCGATCGAGGGGGCGCCGATGAGCCCGCACCAAAGGTCACTCCGGCGAAGGGTCAGTCTTATCCGTAGCCGACACTTGGCGGCGCGCCCCGGGGGAGGTGAGAAAGGGCCGGCCCTCTCGGAGGGCTCGGAGCACCCCGGCCTTCCGAGAAGTCTGAGCAGACCCCGAGGAGGTAGAGAACCTCTCAGAGAGCCCGAGGGCTTCCGAGAAGCCCCGCCGCCTTGATGAGAGGTCCTTCTCACTTCGCCCCATCGCACGCTGCCGAGTGAACTTAAGGCGGGCCTGTCCCCCTAGAGGCCAAGTTTGGGCGAGAAAATGGGAATACTGAAACATGCACCCAAAATGGTCTCAAATAGTAAAAAAATCGCCCCATCTGATTTTTTCCTGTTTTTGAAGATTCCTCCTGTAATAGGACAGGCCCGACTTAAGAGCAAACTGTCGAAGATCTGCGCGGATGTCTTGGGTCCGCACTGGGCCCCTCTCCCCACACCACCGACGACGCCTCCGTCGCCGCCCCCCCCTGCGCGCTTCTCCGTGGTATGGACGGGGTGCGCGGAGGCGAGTCCAGCGCCGACCGAAGCCGAAGAAATCCGAGCGGACCTCCGACTGTCCATCTTCGCCCACTTTTCTGTCGGTCGCCGATGACCATGGACGGGCTGCGCGGGCGAACGCTCAACTCCCACGCCTCGTAGTTGACAATCCAGATGGTCTGCACGCTCCCAAGGTGGGCCGAGCACAGCACGGAGTGGGCCTGCCCGGTGGTCGAGGGACGGCTGCCAGAGAAAGCTGCGAAAGGATGGCAGCGCTGAAGGATTTCGAGCCGTACGCCGAAGAATGTCGACTGGGCCACAGGGCACTGGACCTCCTTGACTCCTGGGTCCCACGGGCATGAGCGGCGAGGGCTTCGCGAGGAGAAGCCTTGGACTCCTTCGCGGCCTCGCGAACCTGAACTGCGGTCATTCTTTCGAGAATCGAACTCTGCACACCGACGCTTGTTCGGGCCCTGCATTGGAATTCGCACTAGGGAGCGGATCCTGGTGTATATGGGAACCTGGTGTATACAAGTTTCGTTGTCTCCCCGGGACATCGGGAGAAAAAGCATACACCACACCGCGCCAGCATCGTCCCCGACCCTCAAAAAGTCCTGGGATTGAAAAGCAGCCCGCCACTGGTAATGTATCTGTTCCAGTTTCCGACCTTCGCGGCCTCGAGAATCGGGTCGGGCGAAAGGGGGGGATAGCAAAGGGGGGCTTTGAGAATCAGCTCCCGTAGCTGATTTTCCCGGCGCCTCCCGGCGCCGGGAGGCGGCCATGTATCGAGGAATGGACCCCTCGGCGGGGCCGAAACCAGCTGCATGCAGCAAATTTCGTACCCCCCCCTTTCCAAATCCCCCCCTTTCGTCCAGCCCGAGAGAACCTGAGCTGCAGCCCATTTTTTTGGTGTCCCTCGCACCACGCTGGAGCAGAGAGGGCGTCACTGGCGGGCCCCCGAGGTACCGCGCCTGCCTGGCAGTCGCAGTTCTGTCGCGCCCTCGCGCGCGCTGGTCTGGGGACCCACAGAACATACACCACCACCACCACCACGCCGAGTCCTCCTCTCTCCTCTGCCCTCCTCTTCCTCCCCTCTTTCCTGGGAGAGGGAGGGGGTTGAGAGAGGTGGTGGTGGTATAAACTTGTGGGCCCCCACAGGTTCGCGCGCGAAGTCGGCCAGATCCTGCCAACGTGAGCCATCTAATCGACCCACATCGTAGCACATCGCTTCCCGCGCGGTGTGGCCAGCAAGCGCCCGCTGCGATGCATGGGCTATAGGACTTCTCGGTGCGCGCGTCGTCAAAAGGGGTGGGGGCGACGCACGCACGGCATCAGCAGGTTGGGGTGACTTGGAGGGCGGAGAGATACGGATACGTGTTGTCCCCGGACCTCTCTTGGGGTGCGTTCTGACCAGAATTTCGAGGCGAATCCAGCGGTGACAACGAGGATTCCCCAGGAGGACCAGGAAAGACCGAAAACGAAGGGGGACAACACGTATCAGTATCTTTTTCTCCCCCGAGTGACGCCGACCACTGGAGGAGGAGGAGGAGGAGGAGGAGGAGGAGGAGGAGGAGGAGGAGGAGGAGGAGGAGGGGGAGGAGGCGGTGGGAGGAGGAGGAGGAGGAGGAGGAGGAGGAGGAGGAGCAGGCGACTTCCAGCCCGACGGCATCGAGGCCGCGAGCACACGCGCCCAGGAGGGGAGTGGCAGCGGCCGAGAGCGCAGACCGGCTCGAGGGGCGGTGGAGGCGAGCCGCACGGGGGAGGCGTACGCAGGCAGGCCCCGCGAGCAGCCGCGGCAGGTGAGCAAGTCTCTCGGAAGCCCTCCTCCTCCTCCTCCTCCTCCTCCTCCTCCTCATCCTCCTCCTTCCCCTCCTCCCCCTCCCCCTCCTCCTCCTCTGGGGGGAGAAGGGACCCGCGAGGGGAGAAGTGAGCAGGAGGAGGTCTGGGAGAGGTGAGGAGGGGGAAGAGGGCCATGCGCCCGTGGCAAACTGCGGGAGCAGTTCCAGAAACACACCGTGCAGGCATGTTGCCTCAGTGATGCATCCCAAAATTCTGCAGCACGGCCCTCTGATTCCTGGCCTCTGGATCACGGTAGACGTAGACGTCGTTGAGCTTATCGAGCGTCGCCGCGGCCTCGTTGATGGACTCATCGCTGGGCAGCTGGACAAACGTCTGAAGCGTGGTACCACGCGCTTCATGCACGTACGACAAGATAACCATAGTCAGGGAATCATCGACCTCTGCGTCCATAACAAAATAGTTAGGAACCCAGAGCTCAGAGAAATCCTTCTTCCGCAATTTATCATCTCTGAAAGAATCAATATACTCGGCGATCTTGCCTTCGTCCAGATCTTTAGGAATGATACCCATCATTGCGAAGATCAGATTGACGACGTCCGTCATGCAACCCTCGACGCCGTAAGCCGCGAACGCCTTGCTAAGCCAGCGGAAGGCGTGATGCTCTAGGGTTACGGTTTCACCGTCCGAGTTCTTGGTCTCTATCTTGCGGAGCACGTCCGATGCCTCCTTGTCGAATCCGAAGTTGTCGAGAAGGTGGTCAAAGTGCAGCTTGTGCGCCCATCCGTCGCCCGCGTACCTGTTCACGAAGGCTGTCCAGGCACCATGATCTGGAACATCCGCCGGCTTGAGATCCAGCAGATCTTTGACGAAACTCTCTAGCTTGTCTATGGCGGCCCCGTTCCTCTGGGCGATGTCGTCTATGCTGCGCGCAGCATTGACAAGGTCGACGACTTTGGGCATCTTGCTCTGGACTACGCGGTTGAGAACATAAGAAGGTATTCTGCACGAAAGCCTCTGTGCAAGAGCTCTCATATCGGCGGGCTCGAAGATCTTCATCACCGAGTTCGGGATGTTCGGCCCGTAGACTGGCACGTTGATAGACAGAAGCGACTTCGGCAGCTCCATCTTCTTGCTGTTGTTGAAAGGCGGCATGGAAGCCTTGATGTTCATGGCTTCCTCGTCGACCGCCTCGGGGTCCGTGGACAGCAGCCGCGCCAGCCACGCGCGTCGAGCTCCCGAGACCGTCGGAGTCTGGTGATTGCTCCAGAACACGGCGATCGTCGACGGGCTCTTCTCCTGCATTTCCGGCAGGCCGAAGTCCGAGTCTTCGTAGAGCCAGTCGACGAATGTGCCAACGGAGATCTGGCCGTTGGACTCCTTGGGGGTCACGGACACGAAGACGTTGAGGCCCTCGTCCGAGATGATCGCCGAGCTCGGGTCCAGCTGCCGGAGGAGGCTCTTGAGATTCTCGGCGGTGACGTACAGCCCCTCCGGGTCCCCGGCGAGGCGGCTGAGCTGCGTCTTCAGCCGCCCCACCAGCGGGGAGCCCATCCGAGCAGAAGCCTCCCCAGCTCAGCGCCAGGCCAGGGCCAGGGCAGCGGTCAGTCCGTGGGGGGGGGTGCAGCCAGCGGCATCGGCCGGCGCGGCTTGAGCCAAAATGGTTACGGACGAACCTGAGCTGCAGTCGATGTAGCGACTGCTCCCCGAGATCCACTGGAAAATGGAGGAAGGAGGACGGGGCAGCCGACAGGCCTCAATTTTCTGACTGTAGCTATCAAGCGCCCAATTCGACTGCCCATACTGCGCACTGGGGCAAACCCCGCCATGCTCCTCCCGCCTGTTGCTGCTCAGGTGGTGGGGTCGCTCCGCCAGGCGTGCCTTACTGTCTTGAAATGCCTCGGCGGTCCAGTCAGGTGGGCGATGAAACACATTGGGTCTTGCGCGAGATGGCCCAGCGGCCTTACGCAGCGGCTCACGCGGGCCGCCAGCGTGACACGCTACACTGGCAGCGAGGGCGCTCACGCGCGACGCTGCGCGAGCAACCTGCGCGCCGGTGTCGGTGAACACGACGCCGTTTGTCTGCGTCGCTCGGTGGAGCACCGCCGTCCAAGCCAGCCTGCGGGTTGGGTCGAGCACCGCATCCAGTCTAGCGGTTTGGGGTTCGCACTGACGACCTCCTCCTCCTCCTCCTCCTCCTCCTCCTTCTCCTCCTCCTCCCTCTCCTCCTCTTCCTCTCCTCCTCCTCCCCCCCCTCCTCCTCCTCCTCCTCCTCCTCCTCCTCCTCCTCCTCCTCCTCCTCCTCCTCCTCCCCCTCAGAGAAGGGGCGAGGTCCTCCGGCAGGCGGCTCGAAGAATGGGCGACAGGCCTACGAGGCATCTGTGCTTGCGAAGCTGCTGCGAGGTTTTCGGGGCGTTCCATGTGCGCCCCAGCGCCTGCGCCCCATCGCCTTCCTGCTCCTCTTGGGGCCGCCGTTTCCCGGCCATGCAAGCAAGCGAGAGCCAGGCGCCTCGGCGGCGCATCGGCAGAAAAAGGTACCTTGCAGACGTGCATTGGAAGCGTGGCGAAGACAAGCGAGGTCCGCCGAGTTTCCCATGCGGCGCGCCCACAAACGACGACGACGGCGACAACGACGACGACGACGGAGAGGACGGAGAGAGGGAAAGTGAGGAAGACGAAGCGAGAGGCCTGAAGGGAGGCAGGGTCGATGATCCTTAAGACGTGTGTTAGCCACAACGTGTGTTTGTCCATCGAGGCCCTTCGATACGACGCAGGCGATGCAACGATCTAGTAGTTGGGCTGAATGGTGTAGACACACGTTGGGCTAACACACGTCCTGAGGATCATCGACAGGGGAGGGGGAGGAGAGGCCCCGGCCATGAGGGCCGACAAAACAGTGCACCGTACAGACGCCTCGGGAGACGCCAACGCGGTATCCGGTGCACACAGGCCGTCCGCGGAGGGCAGTGCGAAGCCTGCGTGCCGCAACGAGGAACCTCACAGAAGGAACGTATGGAAAAACACACACTGTGGAAAAACAACACAAACACACACACAAACACACACACACACACACACACACACACACACACTACACACACAGTGGAAACAAAAACGCACACGGTGGGAAAACAAACGTTGTTTGTGTGTGTGTGTGTGTTGTGTGTGTTTGTGTGTGCGTGCGTGCGTGCGTGCGTGCGTGCGTGCGTGCGTGCGTGCGTGCGTGTGTGTGTGTGTGTGTGTGGGTGCGTGTGTGCGTGCGTGCGTGCGTGCGTCAATGTGTGTTTTTTGTTTTGTTTGTTTGTTTGTTTGTTTGTTTGTTTGTTTGTTCGTTTGTGTGTGTGTGTGTGGGTGGGTGGGTGGGTGGGTGTGGGTGGGTGGGGGCGGACGGGCGGGCGGGCGGGCGGGCGGGCGGGCGGGCGGGCGGGCGGGCGTGCGCGAATGTGTTTTTTATTTGTGTGTGTGTTTGCGTGTGTGTTTTCCCAAATCCCTTTCCGGGCCCAGCTGCGCCCAGGCCTGCGAAGAGCGCCCCGAGGGGAAGCCGCGAAGTGGCGAAAGGAACCCCCGAACCGCTTCCGAAGACAACGTTCGGCGGCGCGCCGCGGGGGGGGGGGCGGGGGCAGCAGAGGCGGGCCTTCTCAGCAGGCTCGGATGACGACCGGCCTGCTGAAAAGTGTCCTTGTCCCCCGCCTTCTCCAACGTCACAAAGGGCGGCTGTTCAGAACGCTGGAGGGTTTCTGAGAAACCCCGCTGCCTTTTGAAAACGCCTGCCTCCTGTCAGTTCCCCCCTCGGCGCGCCGCCGAAACATGGCGCTTCTCCCGAAGTCTTGACTGCATCTGCGCCCGCAGACTTCGGGGCCGCTCCGCCTGGCCCCCCCCCCCTCCTCTCCGAGAGCGGAGGCGCTGTGCTGCGAGAGCGGAACTCCGAGCCCGGGCCAGGAGCGGGGCGTCCCTCCGGGAGAGGGAAGCGCCAGCGCTGCGCACGCTGGCGCAAAGGGAAAGGAACGGGCCTCCGTCCTGGGAACTCCAGCCGGCCACGGGGGGGTGAGGGGCCGCGTCCGTGATGCGATCCCACTGTTGCGCTGCCGCTCGTTCTCGCCCTGTTTCGGGGGAGCTCCAGCGCGAGCGGAGAGATTGCCCTGCAGTGTAAATTTTCGGGTGGGCGCCCTCGGCCTGACCCAGAACTGACCGGAAACGGGAAGGGTGGAGAGATGAGACGGGGAGGAGGCCGAGCTATAGCTGCGCCCGCGCCGAATCTGACATCCTACTTCTCTCACGTGTTACGCGCGGCCCGAAAATCATGTGAACGGAAATGCGGAACCGAAGGAGATCCGCATGTAGAGGAGATCCGTAGGTAGAGGTAGGATGACTGCGATGAAGGGTTGTATCCTTCGACGCTGTCCGTCCGAGGGAGATCCGTAGGTAGAGGAAGGATGACAGCGATGAAGGGTTGTATCCGCCGACGCTGTCCAGCCATATCAGACTGCACATCTCCAGCACCTGAGCCGAAACGGGCAGCGGTAGAGAAGAGCAAAAGTGGGAAACAGAGGGGATTAATACACGAGTACGCACACACATGCACATTTGTTTGCGTTGGCGGCTGGGCAGACTGCGACTGCCCCGGCGGATTGGCAACAAGGGACACGCTGCATGCAAATTATGGCCGCCACCACATACACACAAACACACACAGACGCACGCACGCACGCACGCACGCACGCACATACACAAACACACGCACACACACGCCGTCCCGAATTCCGCTCGAAGGCATGTCCACTAACAGTGCCAGCGAACAGGGGCTTCGGGATAGAGGTGCGAGTCCCGTCTCGCTTCTCGAGAAAGGAAGGCAAGAATGCCCCAAACGTCAAGGAAGGTAAGAAAACACCAGCCGAGTACCCATAACCCTTGGCAGTGGGCCTTTAGCGCCCCCTGGCGCACGCCCCCAAAAACGCTTCGGGCACACAGGGAAGCCAGGGGATGGGGTGCGACAGGGAGGAGCACGGGAAGAGTTGGACAGGTGGTGAGTCGCACGGCGGACGACCAAACGGCGTCGGCGGCGCAAGTGTCTCCACCGTCCAAAACGAGTCGGCCACTTAGAGTATTAGGCGATGCGTCAAATGCGCACCTGCCACAGGGCGGCAGGCAATCCGCTCATCAACTGTTATGATGTACCGCGCTGGAAGCAATATAACGGTATCGAAGTACCGTACGGAGCCAGGTTAATATTCAAATCGAGAAGCAACGCATCAGCCAGTCAATGTTTTGCATGAGTTAAAGTAAGCTCATTTTCTGCAACATCTTAGTGCCCACGGGAACGTATTGCATCGACCAATCATTTGCCAAGTAAATCAGTCATGAAAGAACAACCGCATCGCATATCACGGACTCCATGAGTTGATCCAACGTTCAAGAAGATGCAATAACTTACTAATATGTCCACGACTCTGCTGTCTCTCGCATCGTCAAAGGTTACGTCCCAGAGGCACGAGAACGAGCGAAGGGATAGAGGTCGCTGGGCCCCCACCTCAATGCGATTGCTGCGAGCACAATAATAAAACTCGAGGCTCGCGCGGACAACTCGGGCACGCAGAGTCGCGGGGCACGCGCCCGACAAGCAGGATCGCAAACTGCGCGAGTCGGGCAAGCGCTGAGAATTGATATGTGGATGTCTTGTTTGCATCGTCACCGTTCCCACGCCATCTCTAACGGCCGTGGCGGCGCGCGGCCGTAGGGGCGCGGGTTCACTGACTGCGGCAACTCTGCCAATAGTTCTCCCAGGGGTACTCGCCGTTGTCGTCGACGCACATGAATGCGCGCCCGTGTGCGGACCAGTTCCTCGGCCACCAGTCGCCGTCCGTGATGTTCTCCCGCTGCCGCGTTGTCTGCGGGTGGAGGCCCGTGCGCCTCGCCTTCGGCGAGATCGGGGCCGTTTCGTCGCGGCGGCGCGCCGGCGTCGCGGACGCGCGGGCGTCGCCGCCGTCGGCTGGAGAGGCCATGATCAGCGCAGCGTCGCCGCTGCCGGCAGCGAGGAAGCCAGCGGGCGCAGGTGCCGCGGGGGCAGCCGGGGCGGCGCCATCATGGCGCGGGCCCGCGCAACAGCGCGGGGCGCAGGGTGGCGCGGAGCGGAGCGGATGCTGGGATCGGCCCCCGTACCTAAATATTCCCCTCCTTCCTGGCTTCTCCAATGCACGATGCGGCCGTTGCCCTCGCTTCAGCTGCGGCGCTGTCGCGAGCTCGCGGCCGGGCCTACGAGATGCCGCGGCGAGGGCGGCGACGCGACCTGCGCCCAGGCGCTGCTGGCAGGACAACAAACCGTCGTTCCTGGCCCGCGGTTGTCTACCAGCACGGCCGCGCACAACGCTCTCGGCGTTAAAGCGCACGGCGCTGCGCATATCATCGATGGGCAACTCGCGCTGGGCGCCCCGAGCGCGCGCCGTGGTGGCCTGGAACCTGAGCGCGGCATCATTGCGGAAGCGGTCAAATATATCTGTGCATGGGGAACACAATACATCTGCGCGAGCACTGCCAGGAAACCGACACTCACGTGCCGG